CATCACCCCCACCACCTCCACCTCCATCTTCCCCTCCGCCACCACCTCCATCCCCATCTCCCCCGCCGCCGTCACCTAGGTCTCGCCCACCGCCACCCCCACGGTCACCACCACCACCACCTATATAGATCTCGAGACGATGATTGATCAATCAAGCTAGCTACTCATTCCTAAAAATTATTAAGCAGTCATCAAGTTCCATACTCTACATCTTTTCTTACTACATATCATCAATAATAAGTAAATCAAATGCACCACATGTTTTTGCTTATTTCAAATAAAATTTACATTTTTCTACGTATCACCACGAATATGCAGTAAAATATCGACGAGCTACCTCATCAAAAAAAAAGGAGCATGTACACTTCTACTAATAAAGGGATATCGGACTTCTCCAGATTCAAGGCTTACGCAGTACCTTCATAAAAAAAAAAAAAAAAAACAGATATTGATTCATGGAGATCAACTCTACGTACCTTCAGGGATTTCATATGCTTGGAAAAGTCAAGTTCCCAGATATAGTTTAGTTAATACTTGTCCAAATTTGTGGTGGTGTATTATGAATTTACATTTAAGAAATAATAAAATTATCATTATTTTGCATTTCAAATTTGGTGATGTTCCATATTATGCTTGTAATTTCGTGCAACAGATATAATGTACACTGAAATCTTGTGTGTAATGGACGTCGATTTTATGATAAAAAAGAGTTATCTCCATTCTCTCGCTATACAACTTTGAGTTGTATAACAATATAATAGTTTTCAAAGAAAAAGAAAAATGAAATACTCTTACAAAATGGATGGAGCAAGTAAAAACTATATATCAACTACTCCTCCAACTTTGTACTATCACCTAATCCCCTCCCCATGATCAAGACTCTAATCCATCAATTTCTCACCTATATATTTCATCATAAAACAACTTTGCAACATTCCAATATCATTCGATTATTATCATCTCAAATCCAAGAACAGAAAGAAAAAACTATACACACACACACACACACATATATATATATATGGATTCCTCAAAGAGTAGTCGCGGAGAAACATCCATCAAAATTCCGGAATCAAACTCCGACAAGCACAAAAGCATCGGTGCCACAAAGGTGGCGGATCCGGTGGGAGGTGGGTGGCAGAGAGGGGTCTCCATCTTCGACTTTATTTTGAGAGTCTGCGCACTTGCCGCTGCCTTGGGGGCCACAGCTGCCATGGGAACTACCAATCAGAGGCTTCCTTTCTTTACTCAGTTCTCCCAATTCCAAGCTAGCTACAACGACCTCCCGGCTTTTACGTATCTTTTTCCATCTCTCTCTCTCTCTCTCTCTCTCTCTCTCTCTCATTTATATAAGTTTAACAATATATGATAACATGTACAATTAATTTCTTATGGCCGGGTTTTCATAGGTTCTTTGTCGTGGCAAATGCCATTACTAGTGGCTACTTGGTCCTATCCTTGCCTTTCTCCATTGTCGCCATTGTTCGTCCACATGCAGCTGCTCTTAAGCTTCTCCTACTCATCTTCGACACTGTAAGACCCAATTTTAATTTATAGATGAATAATTAGACTTTACTTTTACTATTATTTTTTTTATTATGGATGATGTGACTAAAATATGTGTTGTAGGTGATGGTGGCCTTCACCACAGCTGGTGCAGCGGCAGCTGCGGCCATAGTCTATTTGGCCCACAACGGGAATTCGAACACCAACTGGCTTGCCATTTGCCAGCAATTTAACAATTTTTGCCAGCGAGTCAGTGGTGCTGTGGTGGCATCATTCATTGCGGTGCTCATCCTAATTTTCTTGGTTGTGCTGTCGGCCACTGCTCTGCGGAGCCACTGATCGAGATCATGTGTTTCTTTTTTATGTTACAGTCTTATTTGTAAGTCTTTTTATGTATGTTTTACTATGGGCGTAATGTATGAAAACTCGTACGTCATCATATATATACAATGAGTGTTTTATGTTTATGTGCATGTTCTTTACAGTAATTTCTGGCTTTAAATCTATATATACATAATAAGAATTAACTTAAATCACTTTTAAAAACCTTTTCACGCCGAAAAGGTTATTAAAATATCGTGAAGTATCCCTATGACTAGGAGTCCCATCGAAAAAGCACAAAATTGTTTAGAAAACTATTTTTACTGAAATATAAATGCAGGAATACCAATAGTTATTAATTTAGTATTTGTTTGTAAAAAAAAAAAATTGATTAAATAACCAAATAGTTATGAAGTGTAAATAGAATTACATTTCTTCATTTAGACTATATAGATGTTAAAATGAAGAAATAAAAGTAAAGCTTACTCGAGTTTCCATGAATCTTGTAGCATCGATGTCCTCTAGCTTGTTTGCTTTGCAGACTGCATTATGTGAAGTAACTTGTTAACTTCAAGAGAAGCAGTGCAAACATGTATCCAAAATGACACCAAATTTATTTGTCCAATTTCACTAATGTGGAATATTACCCAAAAAAAAGCAATTAGATTTGATTTCGCCTTACTTTCAGAGTGTACTTTATAAAGATATAACAAGTAAACTTACTAGCATCTCATGGTCCCCCATAATCTCCTCTATTAGCTCTGCTAAAGGCTTATCAGCACTATTTGGTACAAGGGCTGCAAACACAGCAGGTTCCAGACCTATGCACAACAATAATACATAAACACGATTATCCAAACACATATCCGGGAGTGTATTCAATTGAGATTTCAAGTGACATTTTGAGACGTTTAAAATTTGAGACTGTTTAAGAATTTTAGATTTTGGAATAATTCTGTATAATCTTTTAGTGGGATTTGAACTGAGATTTCGTATAAGGTTTTTTAAATTCCACCAAATCTTAAAAAATCTTAAAAAAAAAAAATCTTGGTCTCAAATAAGTTAAATATCTCAGGATTTTGTAAGACTTTTTAAAATCTCAACTGAATACCCCCAAGACTCTTAAAAGTCTTATCTTAACAAATCTAAATTGAATACACCAGGATTTCTAAATTTTTAAAACGTCTTTAAAAATCCTAATTGAATAAACCCGCCATCATATTCTATCATTTTTTTTTTTCTTTCTAACTCTATTTTCTTATATTAAAGAAATGCAAGTGAATATATCATTACCACTTTCCGGGAACGCATCGATCAACATCATCATCTCCTCACCAGTAAGACCTGAAAGGAAGCAAATTCTTGGTAGTGATTTTGCAACCTGCAAAGATGTTAGACCACCACATTATTATCATTTGTCACATGGCAAGGCCGAAATATTATTTATTGGCAAATTAATTAATTAAGAAATTAATTATGTATCTAACTTTTGATGCATCCACATTCGATTGCTTGGTATTCACCGCTTCCCACAGTGAACTGTTAATCATGTCCTCAGTACAAAAAATCAACTGCACCAAAAATCCTTAAACTGTTAAAAGTTTGTTTTTTTTTTTTTTTTTGGTTTGTTTTTTTTCATGTACAATCATACTTTAATTCATTGATATCGTTTACAAAGTAGCAATGGATGTTTTTATACTTCAAATGTCAAATGTAAACACATAAAATGTTTGATGTTTGGTAGAATTAATGCTGATATTTACCTCAAGAAATTCTCCATCCAACTCCTTCAGAAACTGTTGTATCTGTAAGAAGGTAAAGATGTTAAGCATTCAAAGACGGCATACAAAATTTAAACGAAAAATTGTGATAGAATTTAACAAATCCGAGTCAGACCTTTGCTGCCTCTTCGAGTTGAAAACCCAGCAACAATAGAGCCTGAAAACATAAAAATATGTGAAACAAAGTGAGGCCTTCAATAGAATATGTTATTATGAATCGGTCTTTATGATATTCGTGAGGCGCAAGCGAATTGCTACAATCTTTGTTAGGATAAATATTTACTGTCATATGCTTTGACCAGAAACGGTAAACTAGAACAACAAATGTAGAGAATTAACTATTACCAACTGACTAGAACTTACAGGCGGACCGTAACTTTGATCTTCGGAATTCAAGGGAACAAACTTTGAATCCTCGGTCAGTTCAGTCGGAATATCTACAATATTGCAGCAAAGAAAAGCAAGTTCTTTAAATCTCAAAAAAAAAAAAAAAAAATCTTTAAATTTGAATGATTTAAAAACTCTTAAATATTTTTAGGTGGACAATTCAAGGCTCCAAAGTAAAAACCTTCTTGCTCTACTATTCCCATAATATAGTTAGCCATCAGAAAGATGACTGACTTTCTACATAAAATTTCATCAGAACTCCAGACTTAGTATCCATAATATAGTTAGCCATCTTCAAAGTTTTACAGCAATGAACAACCATGTAGAGCCTTTTTGTTGTTGTTTTTGTTTTATTTTTTTTATTTTTTGTTTTTTCCCTCAACATCTTCCCACACTCTAGTAAAAAACCGTTGAACATATCGATTTTCGCAATAAGTCATTTGTTCGATAGCCTTCGACGTGGCTTTATCCAAATTAACATCTTTAACATGACCACCAAACGTCCATTCTTATGAAGATGAACTTTCATAATTAGGCATTGTTTGGTAACCAAATAAGCTACAATATAGCTTATTTGGTTAGCTTATAAGTTTCTTGTATTTAAATAAGCTTCGTTGGTAGGATGAGCTTTTTTAAAAAGCTCGAGCTTATTCCATAGGGGTAGATATTTCAGGTAGCTAAGCTAGCTTATCAGCTAATTTTACCAAAACACTTTTATCATGTGAGCTACTTTTTAAGCTATAGGCTCGAAAATCACTTATAAGCTATAAGCTAGCTCGTCAACTATTATAGCTAGCTTATCAGCTAGTTTTACAAGTTTAGACATTCACTTGGAAAGTTGAAGAGCAATAAAATAATGTACAATTAACTCTTGAAACTGTGATCACTAGCAAAGAAATGCATACATAATGGGACTTCAGATTTCACATAACAAATAATTGCATACATTTATTTTTGGACACTCTGTGCAGCACGGTAAACAATTATTACAGAAAGCCCTGCTGATGGCTTTTCTTATTTGGCGAAAACTTAAATAATAGTAATAGCGAAACCTGAAAATGAAAAATCAGACAACTAAAAAAGGGGCAAAGAGCTTTGCCGCCCTTGTGGTCCTATCCGGCTCGATTCCAGATTAGTCGGTTCCCCTGTGAATCCGGAAACCGGAAGATCCCTGTACCAAAAAAAAGGGGCAAAGATACTACCTTTGGATGAAACTCTTGAAACCCTGTCGTTGAGGTTGAGGTTGAGGTTGAAATGAGAAGAAGAAGCATATTTGGGTGATGAAGACAAGTTGAGGGGGAATGGTGTTTTTGGTCGGTCACTGATAAGAAGGTGACATTGGAGTACAAGGTTTTGGTTGGATATCAGTGGATAAGCCATAACAATCTCTCTCTCTCTCTCTCTCTCTTCTTCTTCCTTCCTCCCAATTGTTGCTACATGTCCTGAGATATAAAAATCGGACGAGTAAATTACAATTTTAGTATGTATGTTTCACTATTTAATTTTTTCATCATCTTTGATTTGAATTGTGTTCTTTTATTTTCGTCCCCTATGTTTGAAAAAATGTTACGAAAAAATCATTTTCGCAACAAAAGATCACTTATGTTTTGCAAAAAATATTTTAATTTCGTCCCTTATGTACGAAAAGGACATTTTTGTAATTTTTTTTTTCAAACATACAGGACGAAAAATAAAAAAACGTACTTCGAAGAGGACGAAAAAGTTAAAATAGTGAAACATACATGACTAAAATTATAATTTACTCAAATCGGACAAATGATTTTGTACAAAATTACAGAGGCAAAGAGCTTGATTGAATACAAAGATTTCTATCAAATTTGTTTGTTAACCATAATTAATTTGATAAAAAAGTGATATGATTAGTTGTTAGTGATACTTTCAATTTATATTAAAATAATATATAAAATAAAATAATTAAAATTAATTTGATTTAAAAATATGAGATAGATTATGTAAAGTGATGGTTAGTTAAAATGTGAATTCATGAATAATAAATTAAAATAGATGTGAAGTGTAACAATGATAATTATTTAATTATATTGGTAATCTATATATATATAATTGCAGGCATGTAGCATTTAATAAAACATTTAATAAAACCTCTAAAATTTTTCCTCCATTTTCGGTTACAAAATTTATCATTAATATATTTTACTTCTCACATTAATACATCTTAATGAGTGTAATCATGTATGTTTCTATTATTATATAATAATTATTGCTAATAGCAACTAATAATAATTCACAATAAATATAAATTACATATTTATAAACAATTGTTTCAAGTTATGTATTTTAACATCAATATTATCATTTTCTTTTATATCTCATAAAAAAAAGTTCTTTAAAAACAATTAGTAAATTATTTTAATAGCATAGTTAAACAACTTTATAATCTTATAAACAATTATTTTTTTAATAATACATATATATATATATATAATTGCTAGCTTAGCATTTAATTTTACCTATTTAATAAAACCTTTAAAATTTTCCCTCTATTTTCAGTTACAAAATTTATCATTAATATTTTTTTTTTACTTCTCACATTAACACATCCTATTAAGTTTAATCATGTATTTTTCTATTATATTATATAATAGTTATTGCTAATACCAACTAATAATAATTCACAATAAATATAAATTACATAATTATAAACAATTGTTTCAAGTTATTTATATTAACATCAATATTATCATTTTATTTTGTATCTCATTAAAAAAATTCTTTAAAAATAATTAGTAAATTATTTTAATAGCATAGTCACACAACTTTAGAAGCTTATAAACAATTATTTTTTAATAATAATAATAATAATAATAATAATAATAATAATAATAATAATAATCAAACTGTTATTATCTAATGATAATAAATAATTGTTCATAATAATAAAAACGTTAATTTATTTTTCTTAATGATCAAATTTTTGAGAATTTTAATATTAAATTCTCAAATATTACTTACTAATATTTTATGTACATCTGTGCATGTGCACAGGATATCTACTAGTATTAAGAATAGTTAAGTTTGATAGGGATTATAGTACCAAACCGGTCGGTCGATCAAAGGACCCATAAAACCCGGCCGAGTAAAGCGGAACACCGACCAAGGCTAGAGGGTCGAACCACGACCGGGCACCAATCCATCGACCTAACGGACGATGCACATGGCTAGGAGAGGGGGATTGACCGAGACAAACATCTACCCATCGACCCAATGGCCGATACGAGCGACTATTGCGAGGCGGGTCGACAAGGTCGACCCTCACGACCCAGAGCATTGACTTAAATACGTCTGGTCAACGAATGACCGCGAGCCGACTACCACACAAGCAGATACCATATAAAGGGTGAAACTAAAAGGAAACATGTAAGACTCGTTTAATAC